ACAGGAAAGTATGGAAATCGGTCTATAGTTAGATATTATTGAGTCGTCGCCGCTTTTGTATATTGGAATTATTTTTGCTAATTTAAGTTGGTCGGGAAAAATGCCGTTTTTTAGGGATAGATTAAAAATTATGAAAAGGGGTTTCTCTATGATATCAGAGACAGCTTTTACAACATCAGGTTTAATTTCATCCAGACCCGCACTTTTATTTGATTTAAGCATACTAATCGCTTGCCGAAGTTCTTCAATCAAAAGCTCTGACTCATCCATGAAGAAATCAGATTTTTTCAAAAAGGATTTAAATGATTTTTTTCCCTCCGGAATTGTATCGGCTAGTTTTTTTCCTATATTTATAAAAAAGTTGTTAAATGTTTCTGCAATTTCTTTATTTACAGAAGCATCACCTAAATTGTCATCTCTTTGTAATCTTTTTGGGAAATTGTCTTTTTTTACATTACCCACGCCTGTTATTTCTTTAATTACATTCCAAGTTTTTCTTGCATTGCCAAATGTTTTATTAAGTAATGAAGAGTAGTAATTTTTTTTTGATTGCTTTTTTAATTTTTCAAAATAATTTTTATATTTTTTGTATTTTATTTCGTTTTTGTAGTTCTTTTTTTTAAGAAATTTTTGGTAAAGTTTTTGTTTCTTTTTTGACGACTTAATGAGTCCTTTCGTCATCCACGGACTAAGCAAACTTTTAGGTTTAATAATTTTTTTAAATTTTGGAAAGGCCTTTTCGTATTGCTTAGTGAACACGTGAATAAAAAATTCATAGCCGTTATTTACGTCATTGCAATCAGTCAATAGTTCCCAGTTTACTTCTTGTAAGAGGTCTCGAAACGTGGCGAGTGATTCATTATTTATTTTTCTTTCATATACAGTTTTTGTTTTTGTATGTTTCTCAGGGTTTGCAGAATATGTACTCAGAAAAACTGGAAAATGGTCAGTTATATCTGTTTTAATAATACCACTTTGCCATTCCACGCTTGTGTAATTGTTAGTAATAATATTATCGATAATGGATGCAGTTGTTTTAGTCACGCGTGTTGGCTTGTTAATCATTGGGAAAAGGTTGTACTGCAAAAGTGTATTTGTAAAACGCACGACGTGGTTATCTGTTTTATAATTCAAAAAATTCAAATTAAAATCACCTAATAAATACACATGTTTTTTTATGAGCTTTGGTAGCAAGTAGTTTAAGTGGTTTATAACTATCATATATATCGTATATAACTATCAGCTAAAATTTAGTTAGTAAGTGATACTTTTAAGTTGGTTTAAATCAGTGTTTATTTTGTTTAGCTAGAAACGGGGCGTGTTTAGCTAGTAAAACTAAAGAACCACGGAAACTTCGTTTCGAAACCTCTATTATGAATGATCCAAGTAGCTATAGCTACTTAGATGTTAACAATGTAATGTTTACTATAGTAAACATTACATTGTTAACATTAGCCAATCGTATTTTTTTCTTTTACCATTTACTAATTTTTACCATTTACTTATTTTTTTAATTTTTTAAAAACTAGTTGATTGTCACGGGTTTGGAACCTTAAAAAATGAGTGGGTTGACGTTTTTTTGCTAATTTGTTGTGATGAACTTAATCAGTCTATTAGCTTGACTTCTTTTCACCGCTTTTGTTAATGCACAAAATTATTTTGTTTTTTTTACAAAAAATGTTGTCAACTTTGGTATGGACGCACTAACATTTTGGTCTTTATTTCTTTTTAAACTCTTCCTTTCTTTAACTTTTACTAGGTTCATTCATATTTAATTTCACAATGAAAATTGTTTTAAATAAATTTCAAGATGAAGAGGACATTCTTTGAGAAATTAACGGGTGAGCTTCTTTTCCCAATTTGAAACCCATGTCGTCAGCTCTGTAATTATTATCATTCACTTATTACGAAGCCTGGTTTTCATCTTTGCCTTTCAAACGATGCAATAATCATTTTGTCATTTTCTTAATTATTTAAATAAATTCAATCTTATAAATGTTTTAGTGGTGATAGAAACCTCTAGCGTTTTAAGATATATAACATTAATATTTTATTAATAATAAAATTTATACACTTACAACAAAAGTTTTTGTTTTTCTTTTCCCCGAAAAATAAAAAAATTGATTTGAGATATAAAATAGATTCAAGATACAGCAATAGATTCAATTGAATCTATTTTTATATCTCAAGATATAAAAATTAAATGAAGCACGTTCATTGTAAAGTTTATTTTTAATTTTCGAAACTCATTTAAAAAAAAATTTATCAAAAAAAAAATTGATTCTATTCTGGTTGGCCTAACCAAACGCTCTGGCCCTGCAGCGACTGCCTATGCCAAGACGGGCCTGTTTATTAATTAAAATATATGGTAGAGCATAATGACTTTACCAAATATTTTAATTAACTTTTGATAGGTATTCCATACTTTTGGTTCTCGATATAAAATGCTTTATTCTGAATATTTACTCTTTTTCCTAGGCAGTTGATAGTGTTCATTATATTTGCTCTTAGATGATAATTTTTATTTATTTTTAATGTTATGCTGGTAACAGTCACAAAAAATAAGCATAAATAGAAAATTGAAAAAAGTAAATGATGCTAAAGCCTCATCAGGTAATATTTCTTGGCAGGTTTTTTATTTCGAATTTCAGCAAATTTTTGGCAGTCTCGTCTTTAAACTTTAAACACGAAGTAATTAGATTAGATAAACTGTTAATAAAATTGTTAAACTTTTTTTTGTTCTGTTATAAGCATTTTTAAAAGAGCAACATGGTTTCCAAAATTCATTAACTAATGATGTAGCATTTAATGTACCAATATACATAACTTAACTCATATATTATCATTGTTTTTAGGAGACACAAACGTGATACAAAATACGCAAATATTTTAACATCACCCCTTCCCCCGCCCCCCTTTAAAAAAAAATTTGAGGCTTATCTACTTTTTACGATATACTTTTATAAAGTCTTGGCACTCAGAAAAATGTAATATCTAGTAAAATAAGAAGAGTATATATTGATGAAAAGAGTATCATCAGGGGCGTACAAAGACTTCATGTGCGTCCCTGTATATTATTTGGAAAAAAATTATTTTGTTGTATAAGTCCGCGAATTTCAGTGACGAACGGGTCCAGAATTATAAGTATTTAAACATCACCAAAAATATTTCAATACTCTCCTCCCAATTTTTGGAGGGGGAAGGGGTGATATTTGTGCATCTTGTGCTTTGTGATTGTTTATGCAGTCGTGGCGCAGTGGAAGCGCACTTGCCTCAGAAACAAAGGATTTGTGTTCAAACCTCACCGCTGTGGAAATTTTGAGACATCGGTTTGGAAGGAGGCGCGAACTTGCGATTAAATGCTCATCCGCGATGCTCTGTGATAAGACCGTAAGAACTTCTTGAGGTACCTAAATAAGAAAAAATAAAAGTACAAAAGTTTTTTTATTTGCGTAAAATAAAATATATATATATATATATATATATATATATATATATATATATATATATATATATATATATATATATACATATATATATATATATATATATATATATATATATATATATATATATATATATATATATATATATATATATATATATATATATATATATATATATATATATATATATATATATAAATTACTAGAAAATCACTTAACAAAATTTTTTTTCATTTTACACTGTTTCATCAACAAAGACTTATCAGAAATGAATGATCAAATTAATAAAACTTCAATTTACACTAAAAAATGAAATTACAGGAAGTCGCAAATGTTTTAACTACTGTAAATTTTCACACATTTGTGGAATTTGCTGACACTATTATAAAAAGAATTCTTTAGGTATGATTGCTTATGCTTTTTTTTATAAAATTTTTTTAAAAAAGGGGAGATTTAATGTAACTATTATTTGAGCTCACTTATTTTTATAGTTTTTTTTAGGAGAAACTTATTTTCGTGCATGCGTTTAGAAATCAAATCTGATTTTTTGTTTAACAAACATTTTTGGTTTACATGTGTAATTATTTATAATTTTTCTTGTAGACATACGATGCATTTTTTGGAAATATTGTTGTATGCAGGCACTGTTTTAAGGATGGACCAATTCAGTTAAAATCGTCAATATTTTTATCTTTTAGTTCCCAAATATATTTTGATAGCATGGTGTCTTTTGAATACTTTTTATTTTTAAAAGATTGCTTATGATTGGCAAAACGTTTTTTCCATTCACCCTCTATTATGTCAATATATTGTTTATTGGGTACATTCTTAGAGGAAACAACACATTTATATACCACATTTTTTGATAAACAACTGAATGGATTCCAATGAGTTTATCAAAAAATGTCAAAAAAATATTTAACCTTATTGTAAGTTTAGAACTGTTTAAATTTAAAAGATAAAAATCTTTGATTTTACTTCTATTTTTTTAAAAGAAACATCCAAATCTGTTTAAGGAATCAAAGTACTCCAATTTAGAGAACCAGTTGCCTAGATTGGAATAAAATTGTATTTTTACAAAAACAAATTTATTTCCAATAACTATGCAACCCATCAGGTCAAACTATGATTATATGTATAGCAGGGTTGTCGGTTTGTTTCAATCAATCAATTTTGACACGATTCCGTCGGGTAAATTTTAGCTTTGAGAATCTTTTTTTTTTTAAAGGAACATTCTTTTAAGGAATTCACCCCCCCCCCCCTCATTTTATTTGAAAAACCGTCTTTGTATACACATACGCCTGTGTACACACACACACAAACCTTTTTTATCTTTTCATTTTGTATAAGTTATATATATTATTAAAAATTTACTTTGTTTCGGTTAATGTACAAACACTTAACGATACGTAAGAGAAGGACAAAAAAACATTTGATTTAATATTAAATGTTTTAATATTAGTCATTGGTTTGTATTTTGAATAAAAAATAATTTAAGAATGCTTTGGTTAAACCATGACAATAAATATAAAATATAAATAGAAAACTACCAAAAACAACATAAAGAACCTTTTCTTTTTTTAATTTATTTCTTTAGCCATAAATTTGTGAACAAAAACAAGAATAATAACTCAAAGCAAAATATGACTGTAATTAGAAGTTTTTAACTCAGATTTTTTTATAACTTTTCCATTCTCAACATCTGTAGGAGTCACTTCATACCCCCAATGCAACAATGCTTGTCTGATAACTGGTGAGATTGTATAATCGTTATACTTTGTATTTGCGCGATTTATTTTATTTACAAGGTTAGCTTTAAATCTTGCTAAAAACTTTTTCCAACGACCAATTTGCCGTATGTCGTCTACTGTTCGACGACCAAGATAAAATCTACAATACCATTGAAACCATCCGAAAGGATCTTGACGCTTTATCCAACCTAGAATAAATACGAATATTTTATAACATCTATATATACATTTTATCACACATATATACGTGAGCGTGAGTGTACGTTTGCCTGTGTCCACAAATCAGCTTTTTTTTTTTAAAAAAAAAAAAGAGCTGAGAAACTAATCCCAATCTGTAGGGCTGCCATGTTTTAAAAAATTTTAGGCTTCTGGGATGAATTGGAAGATTTTGACTTTTGATGTATATTTTCATTTTTAGGTATATTTAGCTGTATTGAACCTAACAACTTCTCATTGAAAACAGAGCTAAAGTAAAGAGACCATATATGGAATAAATATAAAAATAGTCCATGACCCATATTATACAGGTCCAAACAGCAGTTTAAACTAATTTTTGTAAAAAATCAAGTTAAAATCATTATTGTATAAGAAACAATTTAAGAATTTCCTATGTTACAATAGTTTACATAGAAAAGTTCTATTTATGTTTTAAAGATGAGAAAACATTAAATATGAACTTATTTTAAACAAATTCAATTTAATAATAATAAAAAAAAATTATATTCAATATTAAATCAAAAATTATTAAAACAGTTAATCATTATTTAATTAAGCTAACATTACAATACTTTAAAATAAGAACTGTGTAAAAGCAATAAGAAGTAACTGCAAACTTTTTTTTTCTATATACTTATTTTTTTGAACTGATAATAGTCATTGAATAAAATAAAAACTCAAAAATACTGCATTTAAAAACATAACTATTTGCTTAGTCAAGTGAACAGAAGTATAATTTGTTCTTGATCTCAAACATATAACTAATAACTCTTTATTATAATAAAATATATATTACAACAAATATAAAAAATAATAACTAGGGCCATACCGAAGAGATCTAAAAGGAGGGGAGATGTATCTGTTTTTTGCTGAGTAAGCCAAGAAAATATTTTTTAGCTGACTGAAATCTTAAAAAAAAATACCTTTGTTTGCTAACATTTGCCGACTGCCAGAGGCGATTCTACGAATAAAATGAGGGAGGAAGGGGGAGTGGTGTGAATCCTTAAAAAGTACCGACTGGCTCCTAAAAAAAAAATCTTTAAAACTAAAATTTACCCTGAATTGTGTTAAATTCTGACTAGCTGACTAAATATGTCAAAAAGCGACTATAACTTTAAAATCACCTTCTTTAAGGTGAGGGGTGAGGAAGGAGTGTTTGTGTGGAGGCAACTTTATAGGGAGGGAAGGGGGTGTCCCACCCATAAAATTGCCTCTGCTGCCAATTACAAATTCAATTTTGCCCACTCTAGTGCTTAAATTTACAGACTAATTAACTTACTAGGGGGGCTAGTGACCCCCTACACACCCCTTCAGGGACAGCCCTGATCATAACACTACTTAATCTTTCTTACTAAATTATCAAATATAATGCGTTCCACATAAATGCGCTTATACAAATTGAATGTCATTATGTTACATATTTTGTAGTTACTGTTATATTAAAAATCCATTTCATTATAAGTATACAATAAAGATTAAGGTAACTAAAGTAATATATCATGAAAAACATACCATATGATTCCCATTCCTCCAGAGATAAACCACATTTAACTTTATATTTGTTTACTGATTTGTCATATGTTGGATTTGCAACATGTAAACTAGGCTTTAAACCGTCAAACCAATCTTCTGGAAACTCTTTCCATGCATCAGTGTGCCATTCATTAGTGACACCAGATTTTATTTTTCTGAAGTATCCACCACCAAAGGCACCTGCTTGTAAAACCTCTTTTGGAGATCGATTTGGTAGGAAGTCTGGATGATCAGGAAATATTAATTCCCCTACAAAAAATTATAATTTAGTAATTCAGAAATACATTTTTGAAATTACAGTGTTACTCTTTGGAAAACAGTGTTTTCTCTCATTGTTTTCTGCTGATATGGCAGTAGTAGGAACTATAGGTACAGATGTTTGGAGTGAACTCACTTTAAACATTTGCACCAGCCAATATAGTTACTATTATTATTGTTTTTTATTTTATAAAATTTACTAATTTATTTAAGAAAAAAGAAACATAAATAAATAAAAAACATAAAGTAAATTTGATGTTACCATGTTGCAGAGAAATGAAAATCCTTACATTAGAGTTTAACATAACTAAATTGTTTAAATTTAAGCAACTACATCAACACTTAGCACATCTAAGCAAAGAACTTTTTTTTTCATTGTTTAACACGCCAAGCAACCACATAAACACTTAACAAATTTGCTAAAATCTGAACAAATCCATAACAGTATCTATACCAGGTATCCATACCCGACAGATATCCATACCAGGAATTGTAGCAGGTATCATAACAGCATCCATACCCCTTGTAGACATCCATACTGGGTAACAGGCGTGCCCGCACAAAAATTGAAAATGTTAGATTTTTAAATGGTAGCTTTTCTATACATGAGAATTTTATAAAGAACATATTCTTTTTTTTTTCGAAAAAAAAAAAAGAATTTTTTTAGTTATCTCTCTAGCAACAATATGCAACAAAAGTTCTTTTAACTAACATTTTATTTGACCAAAATTGGAGAGCCAAACAGGGTTCTTATCTATAGAGTATCTTAGCTATAGGGCTATTGATTAAAATAAATTTTATTGACAACATTTTAAACCCTTAAATATCATATTTAAAGCATTTTTAAGTTTAAATTTTTTTTTAAACGTTTTAAATATTTAAAGCATTGTTAAGTCACTATAAATTTATTTAAAATTTACACACACAAAAAAAAATTTAATGATAAAAATTATAATATAAAATTAGATAAACAGAAATACGATTACCTATGTAAAAAAATATTTTTTATTATTAAATTGATTTATTCAAAGGTAAATTACAATTGTCTTTCGTTCTCGTTTCCTCTCTACTATATCACACAAAGAGATGCAAAATAAATATAAAAAAGCCTAACAAGATTGCTCAGAATGAAATAAGTTGAATAATTTAATTTAATATTTGTGAAGTATAAAAATTTCATTTATGCCTCCTAAGAATATAACACACCAAGAAATAATTTCAAAGATATTTATGTTTCTAAAAAACGCCAAATTTTTTAACCTAATGTGGAACCTCAATTTTGCTTGTATAAAAAGATATATATGGAATCATGGGCGCAAGCCATGGCTGGTCTTTGTTTTCAATGGATGAATGTTTGCTCAACTCGTTTCTCCACGCAGCGGTCTTGTTCATCAAGGTTCATGTTTCGGAGTTATAGAGTTGAGAGAGGGTTATAACCACAAATAAGTAGCCTCCTCGTCTGTAGTGGCCTTCTCAGCCTTGAGGAAGTGAATTAAATAAAAATAAAAAAATAATAATAATATCAACCACTTTTTTAATAATTGACTTGACTATATTATAATAATTGTATTTTATTTAGTCTTATATTTAGTGTATAATTTTAAATTTAGATATAAAAAGTGCACAAAAAACTAATAGAAATTGTGAATAGTTGCCTATAAATTAAAATACTGTTCATAAACTGCTAAGGAAAAAATTAAAATACTGTTCGTAAACTGCTTATCAAGAAAAAAGAAAGAATCCTGAAATAGAAGAACTAACCTTAGGCAACATAATAAACATTAGAAGCACCTGATATTTATAAAGAGCTAAGTCCTATGGCTTACCTTCTTGTTGGTGCACTTCATTAAGTGAGTCAGACACTTTATCATGCTTGCTTTATACAAATTTCTTGTTCAAGGTCCAAAAACGTATTAAAAACATAGTTGGACCTGCTCTATGTGTTAAGCTTGAGACTCTTACCCATCGTTGTGAAGTTGCATATCTTTCTCTTTTCTACAAATACTATCATGGAGCTATTATCTCTAGTTCCATCAACTAATACTCATTCTCTCTGAACTCGTCTTTCATCAAAGTCTCATACTTTTATTATATCTATCCCTGCATGCTCTAAAAACTTTTATTTTTCTATTTTTTTTCCCCACACCTAAACCCTCTGATATCTTCATGTTTCCTCTCTCTTATTTTCATGTTTTCCTGACTCATACAACCTTCAACTTTTTAAGTCTTCTGTCAACTGTCTTCTTGTACTGCAACTCTATTCTTTTTTTCTAGCAACTCCCAACTTAATAATGGTTGCTTGCAGCCATTATTAAGTTGGGAGTGAATCATAATTAAAAAAAGTATTAAATGTCTATTTATGAACAGAAAGACATCATTTTCAATAATTTTTAAATAAGTAACTGAAGCAGGCTATAAGTTAGTCGATGAGGCAACACTCCCTTGTAGCACCAGGTTATAAGGGTCGGCATTCGGCAATGTTGACCTAAAATTATTTAAGATCTGCTAAAAATTACAGACCTTATTTTTCCTAATTCCAAGGGTTATATATATATATATATATATATATATATATATATGTATGTATGTATGTATGTATGTATGTATGTATGTATGTATGTATGTATGTATGTAGGTATGTATGTATGTATGTATGTATATATGTATGTATGTATGTATGTATGTATGTATGTATGTATGTATGTATGTATGTATGTATGAATGTATGTATGTATATGTATGTGTGTATATATATATATATATATATATATATATATATATATATATATATATATATATATATATATAAAATAGGTTATAAATATATATTAAGTAGTGATGATGCTGAGGTGCAGGCTTTCACTTTCAATGTTGAAAGTAAAAAACTACATAAATATAATCTGGTTCCGGCAGGAATTTTTCAACAGTTCTGGAAAATCCGGTTCAACAAAATAAAATTTGTTTATTCATTAAACAATTATTAGAAGTAATTTGTAAATGCATAACTTAAAAATCCTTTAAAAATATAAACTTTTAAGTAACTTAATTTAAGCGCGATTAAAAAAGTAAAAAATAGTAACTTTTATTTTATGTTTAATTTTTTGAATTTTATTTTAGTGCTTATATATTTTTTTATGTATTGTTTTCTTTTTTCATTGATATTATTTTTTTTAATTTCTAGTTCAAGTATAGCTAGCATTTTTTTTTTAGCATTTCTAAAATGTTTAAAACATCTAATAGTTGTGGTCGAATTGTCAAAAAATAAAATCATTTGCGTTGTAAATAATAGTGCTCGATTGTACATCATTCCTGGCCAGGCCTGATATATATATGCCTCAGCAATCTAAAATGGATATGGTTGGCGATAAGCATTTTCACAAGCTTTTTTAATATTCAGATAAAAAAGCTTATGGATAAATTAAAATTGATTGTTTTAGTAACAGTTTTTAAGCTTTAGTAATAGTTTCACACAGTAAAATTTTGTATCATATCATGAAAACATTAGAAAAACAATTGTCAACAACAGTTTTTCTGATATTTATTTAAGCATCTTAAAGTTTTCTGAAAAATTTGGTAAAAAAAATGTTGCATTTGACCAAATTTGTTTAACTCCATTTTCTTAGTTTTAATTATTTTAGAAAATTGCTTTTTATTGAAATGATTTATTATTTTATAAACATAATTTTGTGAAGCGCTTACTTTTTTTTTAGTGAAACATTTTTTTATTTTTTATTTGAAAATTTGAAAAGTTCAAAAATTGCAACTATATAACTTTAAGTGAAAAAAGATTTAAAACTTGAATGAATGAGTCGATGAATGATACTTTTAAAATTGTTTTTGTGCTACATAATTCAAAAATGCTAAAAAAAAAAAATGCTACAAAATTAAACAAAAATTTTTTATTACTGCTTATTAAAAAAGATTTAAATTAGTGACTTTCATCAATCTTATCAATAGAATAGAAAAGGGAAGATCATTATTTGTTATTACAGTGACTATTTGTTAATGGTTAAAAAAAGTATAACATACAATGTAAAACAGGAAAGATGATTATTTGTTATATACAGTGCTTATTTGTTTATGGTTAAAAGATAATAAAATAACTCAAAATTTCTAAACTGGTCTCAATAAACTTGAAAATAAAACTTCTTTAAACATTAAAAAAAATTTTAACTAATATTTATTATAATATATGTTATTAAGGAGAATCAAATAACAAAATGGATGCAATTTTTCAAGCAAAACTTACTTATCTGCAGCTCTAACAAAAAATGCTTTACAGATTATTTGTAGTGCTAATTTTCATGCTCATTTAGCCCTTCTAATAATGGAATGAAAACAGGGCTCATTAAAAAATCGAAGAAAAAAGCATGTGAAAGTAAAATGGAACTTGTCAACTCCATTTTAGAAATTATTAATTCAATTTCATTATCGAAATGGTCATCTAGCTTTCGATGACTTATTTGAAGATCTTAACCCTTTATTTACCGACGGAACTTATTAGTCCTGCTGGAAACTAGTGGCTATATTTTTCAGTAAGAATGTAAGTCATTGATATTTATTTATAGAAATTAAAAGATATACCTTCTAATATCTTGATATAGAAAAATATCATTAAAGTCATTGCTTAAGAACACATATTTTTGTTTACAATATGTCTACTAAAGCTTGCAGTTCTAATAGATTTTTTTCTTGACTTGAAAGTATTATATCTTTGACCTTTAATATGATTGTGCATTGGGAATTTTTTTGGTTGCTGTTTATTATAGTAAATAAATACTTATATTGTTTTGATGAGTTTTTATTGCATTTTTATGTTATATTTTTGTAAATTTTGTTGTGGGACTTATTGTCCCATCAGGTATAACTAATTCAAAATTGACAAAAAAATATTAATCTTTATTCTTTAGTTATTTTATGATTATATTGTATTTTTTTCATACTTTTTTATTAGTTCAATAAAAAATGTCATTTAAAAAGTTATTTACACCCTAAGAAGCTGCTCACTACATTATAGAGGAAATTCCAAGTGATTTTAGTGAGGACATAGGGTCAAGTGATTCTAAAGATGAATTTATACTAGATGCTCTAAAATTACTGGAACCTGTCGAAAATGAATCAGAAATCTCCAGCGATTCAGAAAGTAGCATGGAAGACATCAGCATTGACCAAGAGGATTATAATGTTGAACAAGATCGTAAATGGACTAAAAAGACTAAAAACCAAATTGAAACTCCATTTCATCTCACGAAGGTCTGGTCAAAAACCATTTTTCTGATTGTCAAAATCCTATTGATTACTTTTTTTCTTATTTTGACAATGAATTTCTTCATATGGGTTATCACAGAAGTCCAAAAAATGGTGGCATCGAATCTTTTTTATTTTAATTGAAAGAGCATTATGTAACCCATTTATTGCATCCAATAAAATTACCGGAGCCAAAATAAAAAATCTTTTGTTTCGAAGAATGGTAGTGCAATCTTTGATCACTCGTGGGCACCCTTCAAACGTAGGACGACCATTGATATCCTCAACCCAGCAAGGCCCATCAAAAAAAAAAAAAAGTCATTGACTTTTTCTGTATCCTCAGCAATTAGAAATGAAAACTTAGGCCTTCAACGGCCAAAATTTGACAGTAAGCGTGGTTGTTGCGAGGTATGTGCACAAGAAAAACTTATGCTTGATTGATAAGAGAAATTGTTTTGCTGAGTATCATGAATTGTAATTCATTGCAAAAAAAAAAAACAAACAAAAAAAAAACACCTAAAATATGAGCATTTTGTATCATGTATTAACCAGGAAAATATTTTGTTTTTAATTGTGTTGTTATAATCTAATTTATTCATAATTTTTTATAGAACAATTTAATTGTATTTTAATTTGACCTTTTAAAAATGTTGAAGCCGGAAATACCCGCCAGGACTTATTAGTCCCGAATTTATTTCCATGGCAAGAGTAAAACTTTTTAAAAGGGTTTTAATGTTTTTAATTCTAAAAAACAGATGTTAAAATAAATGCCAATAGTGTTAACAACCATACCTTGGTAAATAAATGGTTAAGGTTGAGAAATCCTATTTAAAAAATTGAATCTTTAATGAAATTTTGTCAGACATGTATCATTGTAATCGGCCAACAGCAAATGACATTGAAAAGGTGCTCAGTTAACCCTAACTGAGAACTTCGAAGAGCAAAAGAAGGATTAGATATTTTAAATTTTTTAAAAATAAAACTCTTATTTAAGGGCAATGTATCAAGCTTATTAAGTTTAAATAATATATAGCAAGTTTAAATAAGATATAATAATATTAATTAAAATGCAATAATTTTACTTCGTGTAAAAGATTTCTTAACAAGCATTATGTTACTAAATAAATATGTAGGTTTCATGTAGGTACTTACCATCCTGATTTCGTTGTATGTTTTCTATATTTTCTTCCTTTAAGTTTACATTTATTTTTGAACTGTTACATATTTTTATTTTTGAATCTTTACATTTTTTAATTGTTTCGTCAAAATCTTGCTTTTCTGATTTTCTTTTTCCAGATCTCAATTTACTCATTGCAATGAAAAAAAAATTGGGGTGTTTATTTTTCTCGATATATACAAAAGTTTGCTGATATTAGCCACTCGGTTTTTTTATTAACACATATTATTTTGTTGTCATACTCTCACTCTTCTAACTAAAGAAATCTTACTATTGTTTAAGCATAAGAGGGTTTTTTTCAACCTTTGAAGCATTCAACCAGAGACCATGTGAACTGTAATAGAAGTATCGCGCTATACTGAATCCGTTAGAATTTAAGGTCCACACCGCAGCGGAAATAATTCATTTGAAAAAAAAAATCCCAGCCAGAAACAGATTTGCATTTTTAAAATTATGATGCTTGCCAATCTAAATTTAAAAAATATTTTGTCGACGATTTTCTAAAAAAACAGTGAGTTAAACAGACAGGTTATAGATTTATAATGTGCAAGGTACTGTACATTATAATGAGGTGCTCTTTGATAAGACCGAAAGGACTCCTTGGAGGCAGGGACGCCGAGAGCTTTTTTGACGCCCGGGGTAAAGAAGTAATTACGCACCTCTATAAACACGCCTAATTTTAAATCAAAAGCATGAACAATTATACAAAATAATGGTTGTGTTTTTATTTTTAGTAATGTTACTTTACATTTATATTTCAAAAAAAAAGGCACATCTAGGTTCATTGCAATTTTGCTATCATAAGTTACTTTGAAAAAAATTCTGTTTCACCAAGGCAAGTCATTTGGATCATGGATCAATGGATCATGGATCAGTGGGTAATGGATCATCATGAATCAATATTTTAGTTGAAGCTAAAGCTACGGCTTTAAAGTAGAGGGGGTCCATAATCGTCTTTTTTTAAATTTTTTAATTTTTCTTATTTAGTTTTTCATGCTGATTCTGAAAATCATAATCATTTTTTTTTTCATTTTTTTTATTTAGCCTTCTACTTCAATTTTAATAAAAGTGAATATATTGACAAAAAAAGGCATTGTTAAAAGTAGATAAAATTATTATTATCATTAAATATAAGAAAAGTAGAAAACTAGAAACCTTTTTCTGTTTAATTTATCAATAATATACCTTATCATTTATAAGTAACAGAAAAAACTAAGCATTATATATGAAAATAATTCATACAGTTTGTTATTTACTATTGAAAATGGAAAATAACTATAAAAGTCATCATGTGTGATAGAGATTGCTGCGTGAACTTTCTTTATAGAACATCTAGGTTATGAGCGTGTTCTTTGGTAGACATAAGATGGAGGTTTGTATTTTTATATCAATAATCATGTATTTAAACAGAATAGACCTCCGCGACAATGACCTATATTGTATCCCTAAAATAAAGAACCTCATTTTTCGAACTTTTTTTTCATTTTAACATATCTTTATCTACTTCAATAATGTCTAGTTCACAGCTAAATGAAGTTGCCTTGTAACTTTAATCAAACTAAAACAGAACTCATCGTGCACACCCGATGTAAAGTTTGCTACTCTTCCATTGTTATCTATTTGTATTTGTAGCTGGTTTCAACTATGTTCCATAGTTTTAACTTTTTGGACAAATAACTGGGCAATAATTCTCCTAAATATTTTTAAACTGTGGGAACCTTCATTTTTTATATGGTTTAAATAATTAAGTATATATCTACTAATGAAATTAAATGATTTTTTTCCAAAGCTTTCCAACTGCAACAACTTAATTAGAAAGTTAATTCTAATCATATTCCACAATCAACCAAACACATAATATTTTTCTCTTTTTTGAAGTCCAGAGGCTAACTTTCGCCAAAATACTCTAGCAAGAATGATACAATCATTCGACCTCTTTGAGGTATACTTGTTAACTGCTTCTAGAATTTTTTTTTAACTAGCTATTCACTGCGTTTTAGAGTAAAGCAGAAAATTTCAAAATTTGATCATCCTGGTTATTTTTTTAAAAAGCCTTTTATAGGTAGCGATGTTCCTTTAGCCTGTTTATCTTTAGAATTGTTAAACCTTTAGAAATTAACTGAACTTCTACTGACTGGCATTTTAAAAGAAGATTTATTCTTGACTTCATTAAAGAAAAGTGAAAAAAAAAAAATGAAATCTTGAATAGCCTTCTTGATAGCTTGAATAAAAATTAAAAATAAATAAAAAAAAAGAAATTAAGATATTTTGAAGCAATCCGTCTTTTTGATTACTTAAAACGTTTTGTTTAGAAAGAGACTTCAGATAAAACTTTTTTTTTGAAGCAATCTGTCGTTTTACTTAAATAAAACGTTTTTTTAAAAAAAGACTTCAGATTTAACTTTGTTTTTCTAAAACGTAACAATTAAAAATAATCAAAATTTGAATAGAATTTAAAAGAAAAGTTGCGTAACTTTATACGCAAAGAAACTTTTGCAAAGACTATTTTTTATATCTTTAAATTTTTAAAATAGAAGTAGAAGGTCAACCATAAAAAATTAGCAAAAGCTGAATTGTTTTTTAAACTTTTCTCAGAAAATTAATTAAGAATAACCGGTTAAACAAGAAATATGGAATTTTGGACCACCCCCCCTAATTTTCCGTGGTCATTTTGCACTTTGTTTTTTTGCAACAACCTGAGCTAAACTTCAAGTGTCCGAAAGCTTGTAACGTAAGATCGGGACTACAAAAACAAAAACAAAAACAATTTTTATTTATTTATTACATTAAAAAAACTTATACATAAAAAGTTAATTAAAATAAAACTTATACATAAAAAGTTAATAGATAAAGTACTACATCTGTACCACATTTCTTGAACTTTTTTACTACATTTCTTTAACTTTTTAATTTTGATTGTTTCTGTTGTGCTTTTGTTGATATTAAATAATTAGTAATAAATATTTAGTTATATTTCATTATTTATAATAAAACACAACGCAATTTTTGTGGATTAATAACTTCTTGGTTATCTATCTTTTGTTTCATTTTATAACTTTGATTATTTCATTGAAATATTGTTGTCAAAAGTTTCTATTTTTCATTTTGAAATAGTTTTTAACATTTTTTTCAGTTGTAGTTGTAGTTAAAAGACTTGTAGCTTGTAGTTAAAAGACTTTCCTTTTTTTGGGGTAAGCGTGACATTTAACTTGCGTTGAGACTTTAACACTTCATAGGAAGTCGTTAAAGTTCAAAATTTTTATTTTGGTTCCCATTATTCAAAAAAAAAAAAAAAAAATCTCATTATGATTTTTTTTGTCTTCCGTCTTCTGGCATTCATATTATCATGGCGCCCGAGACACGTATGCCCATTTTACCTCTCCCTCTCAGCGTCCCAAACGGATCGGCGAATATTCGTTAAAATTCGGATTACGAAGTTTACTGAAAGTCGAATTTGACTTCGGTTTCGACTTAGGTGCCGGAGTTGAAATAGAAATTTGGCTTTCAGTTAAATTTGGTAACAATTTCAAAATTTCATTTAACTTTCAGTTAAATTCGAAAGCTATAAAGTTTTTTTCAATTTATAAAGAAAAAGAATTATAAAGTATATTAGATGTTTTATATTTCAAACTCATAAAAGTTCTTTAAAAATTTCTTTTTTAATTAATTTTTTTTTTAAAATCCAAATTCGGCTTTCAATTAAATTTGGTATAGAAGTCTAAATTCGTCTTTCAATTGAATTCGGGCTACATTACGGCTTAAATTAGTCTTTCAGTTAAATTCGGTATTCGCATATGATCTAAACTCGTCTTTCATTTAAATTCGAGTCTTAAAAGTCGACTTCGCCTGTCCTTAATACTGATACTGGTGTAAAATGTTTTACAAAAAATTACAGTGATTGAAGCCTGGGAACTATATTACTCTGAATAATCGGGTCGCATGTCTTAATTGTCTAAAACTAGATCGAAGTAGACCTTAAATAAATATCTCCGACAAAGAACAAAGATTTTTCAAAGCGAGGCAGTACTAGTCAAAATCAAAACAAACTCAGCGTTTTTTGTTTTGTAAGATATATCAGAGTTAAATGATGTAGTATTTTCTTCATAAGCTTTATAAAATTTAACCTTTGTTCTGTTCATTTTTGTTTCTAGTACCTAGTACCAGCTTGTTCCCAGGGCCACCCCACATTATTTAAAAATTATAAAGTTCAAGGGTAAAAAGGTAAGGGTAGTTTCTCTGTCAGGTAATGTTATAAAAATTTTTATTTTGATTCTCAAAGAGCATTGCTACAGCAAGTTTTTGTTTTTTTGTTCGTTTGTTTGTTTGTTTTAGGATTACTATTTTACGCGTAGATTTTTTGGTCAATTTTGCTCAGAACTGTTAGTCAATTTTGTTATATATTTAAGTGTTGCAATTATGTAACACTAGATAAAACTATTGAAAACAAACTAAGATTAAATAAATTCTTATTAAATTATGTGCTTAATTTTCAGAGAACGACTCCAGATACAATTGCTAGCGGCCCAAGATACAAATAAAAAAAGCTTTTTGTATCAAGGGTTATTACTTATTATTATCAAGTCATTATACCATTATCATTTATACAAAGTAAATAGCATAGATATGTTGTCATATCAGTTTCACCATTTTCAGACAAGTCTGGGGCTTTGAATTTGGGCATTAAAAAAATCCGGCTCTAGGTAGACGAACCCATATCTCGTTTACTAGTTACACAAACTTCCCCTACTATTTTCAAGATAAAAAAGATATAACCTTTTTTAAAAAAATTTCTATTAAAATTCATTACAAAATTTAAAATTTACTTTATTAGGGAACATTTTTTCACCCACCTATGGTTTTACCCTCCTATGGGAATTTGGCGCATGTATTTAAATTAAAAGCGTTTAGAATTATACTAGTTAATCGCTGTCTTTTTATTTCTAATAACGTTTTTTTAAATCCATATTTTCATGAACCACATTTAGATAAAATAACACTTATGCAACACATTTAACATTCACTGGTTAGGATTAATAAATAGATTCATTGAAAATATTATTGAAAATAATCTTTTCTTGGTTTTTTCTTAGCAAAAACTATTCTTATTATTATTATGTCCGCAGAGTTCTATCCAGAATTGTATTCATTTTCAACTTGTTTGTTCGATAGACGATCCTATTCTAGAGTGGCCCTAAAATTATTTTTTTAACACGTTCGCTGCCAATTACGAGTATACTCGTAGGTGGCAGGGAACGTGTTAAACCAATTTTGCTTTACTTAAAGGTCGTTCACTTTCTACAACAGGGGTTGGCATCAGAGGCGATTTTACACGGGTATGTGGGGAGTGTTTTATTCCCATCCCCCCCCCA